GAGTGAAGCTAAGACTATGATGTGCTGGCTAGTCACTCAAAGTGGTCCTGCAGGATTCTCACTGCTTTCTCAATTACATTAACGAGGCATAAAATGCAAACAAACCTATGCATGGCTATGTATTGTCACTGCCATGTACACTTTGATATTCAGATTGAATAGCTTTCCTAGCAAAATGAAGACTTGAATTGACAACTGAAAGCAAAATAGTGATGAACCGTGTAGGGCCATATGCAGAGGTTTCACATCACTTGGGCTGCCTGATTTCCACATGCTCTTGTTTTAAAACAAAGAACAATCACATTGAAACAAAATTCACATTGTATGCTTTAATGGAGCAAATCCCTTGTAGATAATACATCTGATTCCCAAATCTCCTATCAAACATCTGAATCAACTGCAGTAAGCCTTTCGGCCCCTCAAGCCTGGCTGCTATTAGTGAATGATCGGATTGTGACCTCAACTCGACTTTCCAGTCCCTGCACCCTTCGACTCCCTCCTCAGTCAAGAAAAATCTACTCCACGCGGTCCTCAAAATACTCCACAGCTTGCTCCATTGCTCTCTGGAGAAGAGAATTCCACAGACTGATGATCCTTAAGTTATTTCTCATCTGAATAGGAGATCCCTCATTTTGAAACTGAATCCCCTGCTTCCAGTCTTACAAGGAGAAATGACCTTTCAAGCATTCACCCTGTCACATTTCCATCAGGAACTTATTTGATAATTAAGGCTCACATTGGCACCTATCAGGATCTAGTGACTGATGAGTTTGATGAGGGTTTGCAAAGCCCTGGGAAATTGTGCACTCCCAACCTGTGATTTTCAAACTCTAACAAACAATGGAATGTTAGCCCATGTCTTCCCCATGACAGTGGGGTTTTCTTGTGGTCAAGTTGGAGAAAGCAACTTGCACTTAATTATCCCCCACTGTGGTCAGCAATAGTCAAGAGTCTTAGAATTGACCAATGGGTGGGGGAGCAAGCAATGGCATGCAGTGTGGATTGATGCCAGAAGATTGAGGGGGAAGTAAAACAGAATTCCAACCCTCTCCCAGCAATCACTGGCTGGGCAATTAAATCAACCTTGATTCCAGGCCTCAGTCAATCCACATTAACAGACACAATAATCAATGCACATCCAGGCTGCAAAGGACACTGGTGATGATTCAACAACAATCCATCAAGTTTATTGTGTGGGACCTGGAAAAGTAGACCTGTGAATGAGCAATTAATTTGCAAGACTCTCTTACTCCTGTAAAGAGTTTGGTCTGATCATTCGCATCAGGAAGTCGGGCATCATAGTCCAGGACTTTGCAATACTGTCATGTATCAGAATTGAAAACGTGAGCCTGGAAGTTAGAGCTTCACATATCTAAGCTTCACTATTGCCAGCAATCCACTATTTGATGCTGAAATCAACACATGCATCACAAAAGCTGCAGCTGTTATGTCCAAGCTGAGTAACAGAGTGTGGAACGACAGAAGCTGACTGAGTGAACGAATGACAAATCTACCAAGCTCGTGTCCTCAGAGCACTCCACGAAAATAACGAGACCTCTCAGTATCACAGAAGTGTTATGGCACCCAACATCTTCTTGAATGCCTTAACTGAGCTTGCCAGACAGTGCGTTCCAGACCCAAACCACTCGCTGCGTGAAAAGACTTTTCCTCATAAAGCATTCGCTTCTTTTGCAAATCACTTTAAATCTACGTGCTCTTGTTCTCGGTCCGTTTATGACTGTAAACATTTTCTCCCTATCCACTCTATCCAGCTCATGATTTTGAAAAACTCGATCAGATCTCCTCTTAACCTTCATCTCTCTAACGAACAGTTCCAACTTAGTCAATTTATCCTCATAATTGAAGTCCCTCATTCAAGGAACCATTCTTGTAAATCACTTTGGCACTCTCTGCATTATGCTCACATCATTTCTATTATGTGGCTCTCAGCACTGTATACAAAACTCCCATTAAGGTCTAACAAGAGTCTTAACACAAGTTCAGCATGGCCTCCTTGTTTTTTTACTCTATGTCACTATTAATAAAGCTGATGACACTGTATACTTTTTTATTTGCTCTATCCACTTTATGTACCACCTTCAATAATCCGTCCACATATACACCCAGGTTCTTATTCTGGAATCACTTTTTGAATTGTTCCCCTTATTTCACATTGCCTGTTCATGCTCTTCCTACCAAAATCACCTCTCATGTCGCTGCACTGAACCATACCACCTATATGCTCACTCCCACAGCAATGTGGTTTGCTGTAAACTGCCTTCTGGGCAATCAGGGATGGGCAGTACTGGCTGGTCCTGCCAACAATACCCACATCCCACAAATGAATTTAAAAGAAACCTCTGGACCAGGTGGGATTTGAACTGGTGACAGAGGTAGAGACAGTACCATTGTTCTACAAAAAGTCCCTAAGAATCCAGTCGTTTTTGTAAGAAACCTGATTCGGAGATGTTATGACATATCGCTCAAGAAGGTGGGATTTGGACCTCTCCTGGCACTTGGGTAGGGCATACTATCATCACACCACAGGAACCCAGCTCACAGCTTATTTTATTACAGATCTGTCAGAGGAGCTTCTATCCAATCAACCACTTGAGAATACGATATGACACATGTCTGAGGCAGATGGGACTTCAACTGGATCTTCTGGCCCAGGGGTGGGGACACTACCACTGCACCACAAGAGCCCCTTAATATAACAGCTATAGATATTTTTGAATCAACATGCTCAGAGATGCAGGTTGGACTTGAACCCAAGCCTCCTGGCTCAGAGACAGGGACGCCAGCACATGGTGACAAGAACCCAGTTAATAAAACACAAGGAGATGGCAAGAACTGTAAACGCTGAAGTCAAAGTCAATACAGTGTGGAACTGGAAGAACACGAACACAGTCAGGACCCTTCATCAGCACCGGGGAGGGGACGGGAGCTGGGAAATAAGTAGGTGGGAGAGGAGATGGACAGGTTGCGTCAGGTCAAGGAGGCAGGGATGAGAGGGAGACTTGGACATGGGATGAGGCCAGGGGTGGGGAGATTTTGAAACTGGTAAATTCTATGTTTAGGCCATCAGGCTGTAAGCTCCCGAGGCAGAATATGAGGTGTTGTTCCTCCAGGTTGGTGTCATTGTGACACTGGAGAAGGCCCAGGATGGATATGTCACCCAGGGAGTGGGAGAGGGAGTTAAAATGGTTCGCGACCGGAAGGTGTTGTTGATTACAGCATACGGAGTGCAGCTGCTCCACAAATCGGTCACCGAGTCTGTGCTTGGTCTCGCCGATGTAGAGGATGTCCAATGAACATTCATTCTACTCTCCATCAACTCTGGAGCTGTTCTGATGTACCCATAAAGAGACCTGTAATTTCAAACACTGAGAAGGAGAGATCAGCCTCCTTTATGTTACTGAAGCATTTGCTCAGAACTATCTGGTACACAAAATGAGAATCCGTCAATGTTTAAAGCCCTTTGTAAGGTGGCATAATATTTTGTCACGCTCTCAATATGACTCCATCGAAGCTGCCAATAGGCAAGACATCCAGACTATGGTATAGAAATTTTTTGAGTACAATCAAACCCTTTGGTCTCCCAACAAGTGATTCCAAGATGGAGGCAATGCTTCAATCAGCACCAGATGTAACCACTAATGGCATCAATCTCAAAGATGTAGTGTGCTCTTTGGGTATGTCACTGTTGAAGAAGACATTAGTGCAAACATCCAGAAATCAAGTTCTGGCTACAGTTGACTACATGATCACGTCTGGAAGCAGAACGGCATTGAGGTGAAGGCCTAAAATCAAACTTGGCCAGGGCATTGCTCTTACCATCCTGCTGTACACTGCACAATCCTTGCCCTACAACTGGTGTCCCAAAGTCCTGGAACACAGCCACCAAAGACACCTGAGGTACTTCACAAGAATGAGGTCCTTCACAGTACAAGCCTCAAGAGGCTAGAAACCACATTCCAGAAAATTCATTATCAGATAGACAGGCCATGTCTCCCACATGGATAACGACATACTCCCCCAAGCAGATCTTCCCTGGGAAAACACCTGAGGGGAAGTTAAGGTCAGTAACCATGTGAAACAAGACCAGCTTAAGAAAAAGTTTTACAAACTTCTGCCTTGCAGACCAGTTCTCTTGAGAAAATGCAACATTCGGCCCTGCCCATGTGAAGGCAAACACTGAAATCAGCCATTCTCAAGAATTATCTACATGAAATGCACAGCAACCAAAATACCCAGAGGAAAACTAGAGGTGGGTCAGCTACAAAAGCTCCCCTAGTACCACAAACACGAATTGCCAGTACTGGGGATGTTTACCCCAATGTCACATTGAACTAAGCAGAAATGTGGAATTCACAGAAACCAAAAAAGTCACTTACAGCTTCAACATAAGCAATGAGGGGATTACTGCAAAGGGCAAATCAAAGGGCCTCAAACTGCAATCACAGCAGAACAGATGCATCTAATCTGTGGTTATTATTCCATAAAGCCCTCTGCCTGGATTTGGGCCATACAATAGATTTCCTCAACAGTCAAAAGTTAACAGAATGGCACCATAGTGGCTGTTTTAGTGGACTATTAATTCAGAAGACTTAAAGATCCAGAAACAGGTGTTCAACATTCCACCTTTACAGCTGGGGAATTTCAATTCAGTTAATTAAATAAATCTGCAATTAAAAATGAGCACCAAAGATAGCCATGTAACTAGCAGCTTGTCATCAAAAACTCATATGGTTCCTCAATGTCCTTCAGAAAAGAAAATCTGTCATCGTTACTCAGTCTGGCTTACATGTGACCCATACAATATACCTGACTCTTACCTGTCTCCCTGAAATGGCCTAGCAAGGCTTTGTGTTGTCATGAAGGTGGATCACCACTGGTTTTCTCAAAGGGCAATGTAAGTAGTCAATACATGTGACTTACCAGCAGCGTCTACATTCCATCAATGAATATAGAAATTCACAGCTACTCTATTTGCTTACCTTCTTATCTTACTGAGGGTCAATTTAATATGGGGAAACTTTTCTCTGAAGGTTTCGTTCATGTCCTTTTTCAGATCGGACGGTTTGACATATTCAATCACAGTTGTCTACAGAGGAAAGAAATACTGGCTTAGTAATTTAAATAGGTACAATTATTCTTCAACTTCTGATGATAGATGCATACCAAAAGTATTAATCTGCATGTTTCTTTACAAATGCTGACTGACCTTTCATGTATTTCCCCATTTCTTAGTTCATCAGTTTTGCACCTTACCTATTTGATATCTCATACGAGTTATATCAAAATGGCTCAATTTTAAAACAACAGCAAGATGCTGCAGATGCCAGAACTCTGAAATAAATTTAGACAAAGGCTTGAAAAGCTAGCATCTGTGGATAGAAACAGAGTTAATATTTCAAATCGATAACATTTCATCAGAACTGAAGAGAAACAGATTTAGGTCCTTTTTTAAAAATTTGTAGAAGGGAAAAAGAACAAAATAGAGGTCTCTGACAGAATGGAGGCCAGAGAAGGTTAGATAATAAAATATCTTGTCACACAACAGATAAAGAGTGGTAATGGATATATGAAGAAACAGAGGGTTATGCTGCAAGGCAGTGTGAATAAAAACCATGTGAATGCCACATGAAGTGGTTAAAAACTATGTTGGTGATCAACCCAGCAAAACAAACAGGAATAAACAAAATGCAAATGTGGAGCCAGAGGTTCGGATCTACAGGCATTGAATTCAACGTTGAGACCAGAAAGTATAGACTGCCCAAGTCAAAAGATGAGCCGCTGTTCCTCAAGTTGTGCTTCACTGTAGCAGACCACAGACAGAACGGTCAGCATGGGAGCTAAGAGGAGAACTGAAGTGATAAGCAACCCCAGAAGCTTGGGGTCTATGGTTTGCCGTTTGAAGGGAGTTTGTTCCGGAAAGCACTCACCCAGTCTACATTTAGTCTCCCCAGTGTTGCAGAATCCACATTGTGAGCAGCAAATACAGTAAACTGAACTAAAAGGAGTACAAGAAAATCACTATCACTTGGAAGGAATGCTTGGAGTTGCGTCACCCTGTGCAAGCAGGTACAGATTGGTTCCACTTATGGCGGTAAGTTTTTCATAGAATCATAGTATCCCTACAGTGTGGAAACAGGCCCTTCGGCCCAACAAGTCCACACTGACCCTCAGAGCATCCCACCCAGACCCATTCCCCCTATAACCCACTTAATCTACACATCCCTGAACACTATGGGCAATTTAGCATGGCCAATCCATCTAGCCTGCACATCTTTGGACTGTGGGAGGAAACCCACACAGACACGGGGAGAATGTGCAAACTCCACACAGACAGTCGCCTGAGGGTGAAATTGAACCTGGGTCCCTGGCGCTGTGAGGCAGCGGTGCTAACCACTGAACCACCGTGCTGCCCTATAGTACTTTTTACTTTTATAGTATGAAAATCAGTATCCTGAATTATAATTCTGATGGACAACTGGACAGAGCATGCACTGTCTATAAGCAACCCAGCTTCACCAAGCTGGCTGCTATTTTACTTGTTGAGACCTTTCAGGGTTTCTGTCTGAACAAAGCCTCAGGACTCTCCAACGTGCTCCTTGGAACTGAGACCAGGAGGTATCCCTTCATGTAACAGTGGGGAACCTGTGGCATTCTCTGCCACTGAAAGCGGTTGAGGCCAAATCACTCAATGTCTTCAAGGAGGAGTTACATATAGTTCTTATGGCTAATGGCATCAAAGGGCATGGGTCGAAAGCAGAAACAGGGTACTGAGTTAGATAATCAGTCATGATCATAATGAATGGCGGAGCAAGCTCAAAGTACCATATAGTCTATTCATGTTCCTTTTTCTAAGTTTCTACCTCTACAGACAAGACTGTCTGATACATTATACTGTTTTCTGGATATCCATATACATCACATCACCTGCACTACCCTGATCAACCTTGGCTGTTATAAAGAAATTCGATCTTAGTTAAACACAATTTATCTTCAACAAATTTGTGGTTTTATTTAATCCATATTTGTCCAAGTGACTGTTAAATTTTCTCCCAGGTTACCATTTTTAAAAACTTCCAAACAAAAACTTAGGGAGCTAGATAGAAAATTAGCCAGCACGGCCTCCAACATGGTATTTGCCAGATTACCCCCCAGTGCCACTTTCATTTTCCTATATGCCATGGTGTTTGGAGCTCCCTTCATAACTCACTTCCTTTGCTACATTGACTGCTGCCTTCCACCAGCCTCCCCTATTACCTTAGCTTTATTCTCCCTCTCTCGATTCCTTTGTTCTCTGCACAGCGTTTCACCACTACTTCATCTTGAGAGGTATGCAAGAAGTACAAAATAACAAATGCTGTGGCTGTTCGATTTCTTTAAAGGCCTTGGGGCTTTCCTTTCAGAAAAATGATTCATTTCACTATGAAATTAAATAAAAACTACAATGAAAAGTGTTTAAATAAAAACTGAATGAACTGTGGATGCTGTAAATCAGGAACAAAAACAAAGTTGCTGGAAAGGCTCAGCAGGTCTGGCAGCATCTGTAAAGGCAAAAAAACAGAGTTAACGTTTCGGACCTGCTGAGCTTTTCCAGCAACTTCTGTTTCTATTCCTGATTTACAGCATCCGCAGTTCTTTCGGTTTTTATTTAGTATTTAACTCACTGCCACATCTCTTCTAGGAATGCCCATCTTGAAGAAGTTCTGCTCCCCTCTCCGACAGGATTTCCGTTCTAATCTTTCTTCTTGTTCACCGACATTAATTTCACTGTAACTCCTGGTGTTTGACCAAATATTTACTAAAACTCGTTTCCACAGCCATATCACATTCAATAAGTTCTGATGAAAGGTCACCGGACCCGAAACGTTAACTGTTTTTTTTCTTCACAGATGCTGCCAGATCTGCTGAGCTTTTCCAGCAACTTCTGTTTTTGTTGTTAATGAAAAGTGCTCGACTGTCTGAGACAGGACACTGAGGATCCCTCCTTCACCTGACTTACTAAGGTGTTCACAACTGATGCAAGAAAACAGCTTGAAAAGATGTGTTTTAGACTTTCACATTTCAATACAAAAGAAACTGGATATCTGGGTGTTTTCAGTTGTCTGCCCTAATCATATTTACAGAGAATTTTCAATAAATCAATCTGCAGTTGAACAAAGACAGCTTTGATAAAATTCTGTTAATGGACTATAATTGCTCAAAACTTTTTTTTATCTAAATGCATGAATGTTTCAAAAACAAACCTCTTAAAATTTTGGAATAGAACATTACTGAGACGAATCCAAACTGTTTCATGGGCTAATAGATACATAGTTAAAATAATCACCTCAAAACTGTGATTTTAAGAAAAATCAATATTTGGTTAGATCCTGTTAGATATTCCCTTAGGCAGGAAGAGATTTATGCAAAATACTGACGGTAGTGATAGAGGGTATACAATGGAGAGAGGAGCTGGGAGGGTGTGACTGTCGGGAAGGGAAGATTCTAACGAAATGTTGGGAATATGAGGCACAATGACATAGTGTGGTGAACGGAATCAAAATTATAGTAAGGGAATTATAGCTATTACCTGAGGAACAGTTGAGAGCATCACAGAATATGCAGGAAATGGAGAGACAGTTTGATTGCATTCAATCAGTTGGTGAGTATTATGAAGTGATGACATTGTAATGGCGCCAAGTGGTCTGCACTGTGATACCAGAGGCAGAACACTAAGACCATGAGTTTACTCCTGCATTTCTCTGACCACAAGTTCTCAGCCTTCAAACAGTAATAAATTGGAGTTGGTAGGCTGAAACAAGAGACTCCATCTGTGGGAAGTCGTAAGATCATGATAGGGAAGTAAAGCTGAGAGAGAGCATCATGTTTATTCTTCCACAGGTACCTATGATTCCAGGTTTGCAGTGTCTTTTTTGTAAATGGTCTTGATTTTTATTGCCTCCACTACCCTACCTCCTACAGTAGTGAAGCAAGTCACAAAATAGCATCCTATGTGACAATGACAGGAGTAGACTAGCCCTCCTTGTCCTGTCATCTTGAATACTGTTGACCATACCAACTTCCTCCAACACCCCTCCAGCTGGATGGGATCACTCTTACCTGTTTCTGGTCTTATTAATGCAGTAAATCCAGGGAATCATCTGCAATGGCTTCCCATCCTCAATCTTCTGCAATGTTCCTTCCTAGGGCCAGTGGCAGCACATTTATATTCAACTACAATCTGTAATCCCAGCATATCACCACACTGCCATCAATCCTAGTTCAATGAAGAGTACACCAGGTATCCCCAAAAATGAGGTGTCAACCTTGTGAAGCCACAATCCAGGGCTACTTGAGTGCCAAACAGCACAGGCAGCGTGCGATCAGCAGAGCTAATCAATCATACAATCAAAGGACCAAATCCAAACTCTGCAGCCACATCACATCAGTCATGAAGTAAATTATTAACTGGAGGAGGAACTTCCACAAATATCCTCATCTTCAAAGGTGGCAGATCCCAGCACATCATTGCAAAAGATGCAGCCGAAGCCTTCGTAACCACCTTCAGTCAGAAGTGCTGACTGGTCATCCTGATGCTAAGTGATCATCCTGAACTACCCAGATAGCAGTTATCAACCAACTCCTGATCTCATTACAGCCTTGCTCCAAACATGGAAACAAAGTGCTGAATGCAAAACACGAGGTTAAGAGAAATATCATGGTGACATTTAACTGGACAGGGCATTAAGGAACCCTGACAAAATGGGTTTTTTGGGGAAGACCTCTTACTGGTAATACCTAGCATATATGAGGATGGTTAAGAACATAGGAGCCATTCAGCTTCTCTCGCCTACTCCACCTTTCTAGATCACAGGTGATCATTCACACAATAGCCTCATACTCCTTTATACCATTTGGAACTAAAGATCTATAATCTTTCTCTTGAACTTACTTAACAGCTGAACTCCCACCGCCTTGAATGAAGAAATTACTTAACTCTGTTCTAAATGGCTTGCCTTTTATTTTGAGAGTGGGTCCCCTGGGTCTGGATCACAAAACTAAGGAAAAAGTCCTTTCTTCACCTACTCTGTCAATTCCATCAAGAATTTT